ATCTTTATTATGAGGAGGTGTTGGTTGAGATTTTATACCGGAAAGTCAAAAAGTTGAGAAATAAGGAAGTTTCTTCCGTAAAAGTTCAATGGAGGAATCATTTAGTTGAGGGTGCTACTCAGGAGCCAAGTCCGATAGTATGTTGATATCCTCATCTATTTCCTTCTACTCCTACTCTAGTTTGAGGTAATGATTTCCTCTTGGTTTGTTTTATGTGTTGTGAGTCATGTACATTTTATGTGTTTCCATGATCTCATTTTGTTATGCATGTTCTTGAAAAAGCCTATGTTTTGAAAGAAATGACTTATATGATTTATTTTCCTCATGATGTGTGCATTTAGTATGAGTTGCCTATAGACTTCATAATATGAATAGATGAACATGTATAAGATAAACTTTTTGAGAATGAATTGTTTAAAGGCTCCATGAGATTGTGTTGAGCGTGTTTTAGCTTGGAGAAGTTAGTTTTTCCTTGAATATGGGAATCTAAAATTTTCATGCATATTGGGTTGCTATATGTAGCTCTTATTTACTTTTGATGTATTTGAGTATGATGAGTTCGAAGTTGATGTTTCCTGCTTATTTATGTGCATTCCACGCATAATGGGTTGTCAGGTTAGCTCAGCCCTCATTTGATGTTTGAGAACATCCTATGTTGGAGTGGAAAATTACTCCTTATTTTCATGCAATGCATTGTTAGGTTGGATTGTTAGTTCCTCTCCTACTCTTTTAGAACAAGTTTGAATCTCATTTGGCGATGAATGAACCAAAGGGAAAGATATTGTAACACCTCATATTCGAAAAAGGTAATGAACCAAAAATGTGGGACGTACATGTGCTTTAGATTGTGTCATTAGTCCATCCTTGTTGCATACATTGTTTTTCTTCAAACAACATGGGTTCTTTTGATTATTGATCTTAATGATTTAATTATGTTTAAATATGCATGAATTGATGATTTACATTGCTTTTATGTTTTCAAAATTATGATCGTGTGACGTGGGTTGTTGATTATGAAAGAAGAGTGTTATGATCCAAAGTATGAAGTACTAGAATTACATGAATTGAAGATAAAATCCGAATCTTATGGTTGAATTCTATATTTGGTGACTGAAAGTATGTTTTGAGCTTTGAAAGAGAAAAATATGAGTTTATGAATGATCATATGGAAACCTAGAAAAATGTTAAGGGTGCTATGAGAGTAAAGTGTCAAAGTAATGATGTTTTATGTTGTGTTGTGAAGGTCTATCCTCATAAACATACACTAGTATGATGTTAAAGGTTTTCTTACATAACAAGATTCTAAAGTTGAAAGCTTATTCTCACCTCCTACTGAACTATCTCGAATTTACAAGATGACATGTATTTTCATGAATAATGCGAATAAGTAAGAAAATACTATTATGTGGGAATCATGCTTAGCACCGAGTGGATATTGATATTGAGATAGAAACTCTCCCGTTAGTAGAGGTCGGGTTATAGAAGAATTATCATGAGATGGAAGCTTTCCCACTAGTAGAGGTCGGGTTTCTAGTAGCGATCTCGTTATCCCTTAAACTATGTTCCATCATATGTTGATTAGCTAGTGGATCCACTTAAGCTAGAAGTTTATGGTTCTACCTTAGGCAAGTAGATAATTCTTTTCAGTGTGGAAGACACTGGGGAATAATGTTATAGCTCACATGGTCTCTATGTCTATTAAAGCTATTTTTTTCACAAAATGATGATTAATGAATTAAGGTTACTTAAAGGAGTATGTCTCAGGTGTTCAAAGTTTTAATGTTGATTTAGCTTGCATTCACCATAATGTTATGACTTGTGTTTTCTAACCTTACTATAGTATATTTTACTTGGTCAATAGCATGTCATGAAATCAAATGTCCCTTTACACATGTTTTAAATGTTTTTATGCATAACTATCATACTTATTGCATTTTTTGTTAAGGTCCGACAAATAGGGTTCCATTTTAGTGGCTAGAGCTTGGACTTTTATCCTCCCCGAGCTTGGTGAGTTCTCATGGTTCAAGGAGGGTCTTTCCTTATTGTAGTTTCTCTTTCGTATTTTCTTTTTGATCATGATGTATGGGCTAGGCCCACTTTCATTCTATTATAATAGATGGATATGCTGAAACATGAGTTAGACTTCAGCTTTTCAATAAAGTTGTTTTTGACTTACATGTTGTTTTATTTGTTTAATTACATTATGTTATGATATACTAAGTGGCTTGTATGGAGTATTTCGGGGTTCTATATGCCATGTTACATCTTGGGGGTATCCTAGGTAGCGACAGATGAGTTGTTATCTTTGCAGCTTATTAAACTATATTCATTTATTATTTCTATACTTCAATGTTAATGGAGGATATTTTAAGCCATAGTTCTCTTATGCGCATACATTTATGAGAAAATTAAAATTGAAGTATTTAGAGCAAAAATTCATTGAACACATTGGCGAGGAATCGATGTTCAGCAGGTGAAGATTGACGTTCTGCCAACTAGAAACGGAGAAATTGTCTGAAGCATTGAGGTTAAACAATTAGGCATGACATTCCATTGAACCAAGCATAGATTTGAACATTAAGAGATGCGCTGAAGCAGCATTGCAACCAATGGTGGACATTGGGTATTGGCATTCAGCCGATGCAATGAAAGTGAAATACGAAAGCTCGAGGGAAAACTCGTACTTTGTGGTGAAAGTGTTTCCTTTTGAAGATTCTAAGTAAAGAATGATCATATGTGTAATTAGGTACTATTATCGTCTATTTTATTGTAGTAGAAAATAGACATTATAGAAGTTCTTACTTGCCCAAGAAGATAACTTAAATTTGTACATCTTCAAGGTTGGATTCGACTTTGGTTACGGATTATGCAAGAAATTGAGTTTTCTTTACGAGTATAATCTCTATTTCTCCATTTATGAGTAGTTAAACTTCTAGCTAAGGGTGGGTGTGCAAGATGTGTGTGTAAAACTTAATAAGTAGTGATTCAGGAAGTGTTTGGTATGAATGAAAACATTTTATAGAAAATATTTTTCAATTTTTTCATTTTTGGTTGGTTTAAATATTTTTCAAATCAACTCAAGTTCCTCAAATTTAAGAAAAAGGATTTTCCTTCAAATATTAAGGAAAACATTTCAAAAACTCTAGTTCATCCTTCAATATTTTTTCCTTACCTTATCCCGTAAACCCGACCTTTCTCATCCCATAATTTTTTTTAAAAAAAAATGTTATTTTCCAAATTTTAAATATTTTTTTATCCCTGAGCTCAAATCAGCCCCCCTCCCAAAACAAAAAAAAAATAAAAAAAATTAAATATTATCTTTTGAATTTTTTTTAAACATTTTAACATGTTCTTTACCTAACCCAACACCTACCACCCTTACCCCCTCCGCCCACAAAAAATATTGTTTTGGTTAAATATTTACGCAACCCCAAACAAGCCAACTTCCATAAAAAAAAAAAAAACTCTTTTTGAAAAATATTTCAAAAATTTAAAATTTTTCATTTTTATGTCACACCAGCCCCTACCCCCCCCCCCCCAACCAATCCACCACTCCCCTCTCCCGTAAAAAATTTAAAGAATTATTTTTATAAAATATTTCAAATTTTAAAATTTTTGATTTTTACGCCACCCCAACCCCAGCCATCCGCCAACCAATTTTTTTAAAAAAAATAATTCAATTTTATAACCGGGTCAAAAGTTATTTTTTTCTAAAGAGTATTTTCTAGTTCAAGCCAAAAATAAAAGATATTTTCTGAAGATATTTTTCGTTCACCAACCAAACATTTCCAGAAGATATTTTCTACTCACTAACCAAACATGAGAAAATTAATTGAATATACACTTAGTTTTCAAGAAAACCTTTTCATGTAAAACATTTTTCTTCATACCAAACACACCCTAAATAGTTCTAAACACAATTATTATGTATATATTTGTTGTTGTCTTAAAGTTTTGAACTAAAAATTAATGATTGCAAACATTGATTGAACTCTAACACTACTTTGATTTGAGAAAGCAAAATATAGTTAGGTAAGACTTCATTAGTGATGACTTAAGAAATTTGTCATAGGTTCATGCTAGAGATAGTGTAATTTGATTTTATTTCTCATTTAAGGGCAGAGTTAGAGACCAAATGCTATCTATGTATTGACTAATTTGAAATTGCCTAATCATTGCCTATTTTGTTGAAACTTCATTATAATGCATACACCCCTAGTCGTCTTCATCTTGTTAAAACTCGTTCGTGTTGATTTCATGCAATTGATACCTGAAATTGAAGTAATTTAGTGGTTCCAAATCCCCCCACCCACCCACCCACCCACCCCAATATTTTGTATTTGTCTAAGATAACATGATATTAGTTTAATTTGAGTTGACAAATCAATTGAAGCGTAATCATCTCTATTTGTCCTTGTGGTTCAACCCCACCCTCAAATGTTACATATTGTTTTTGCATATCTATGCCTTATATGCGAGGTATAGTTGAGCATTATTAATACTATTTATTCATTAAAGTAGTTTTGAGTGAGACAAGTCTTTTGCGACCAATTCTAAGAAACAACAACACTTGTGTCAAAATTTGCCAACACTAACTACTGGTTAAATAATTTGGAAAAAAAAGGGGATATAACTTAAATAGCAGGTTGAAAAGTAGCTAGTGAATAATTCCTAGGTCACTTTTCAAAGATCATGTACATTTCAGTAGGTTGTAACATCTTTCCTGATAATAAAGCAGAGGAAGACATTGTAGCGTCGCCTGTCCACGAACTCATATTTAGCTATCCTAACTCCAAAGTAGGATTTGGGTTTAGGTTAAAACCCTGAAAATTCCCTCAACTCATATTTTTGCTATGAATTGAAGGTTCAATTGTCCAGTGTGGGCACAGCCGATATACCAAAGGTGATAAACTCTCACCCCCTTCAAATTATATGCTAGCTGTCAATGTAAACAGTAGTGGTACATAGTAGCCACCCTAATAGTAATAATAGCCAAAAGCTATGAGAAAGGTGATTCATCCAAACAAAAGAATTTGAGTATAGAAGAAAACAGCAACAGCTTCAATTATATCACATATAGTTTATAAGGAATCCACAACAGATTAACAAAGCACTTGCCCAACAGTTAAGACTCTAAGAGAGTAATAATGAGATGATGTAAGCCCAATCACAAGAAAAGTTTCATCTGCTTCTTCAATGGAAAAGTTTTCTATATTCATCTGCCTCTTCAGCCATCTCCTCAATGCTTCTGTCTTTCCTTTCCTTGTCCAAATCAAGTGACTGCTTCATCTCTTTCTCCTTCACGTCCAACTGCATCAACAATACAAAAGAATTAATATAATTTATGTTTCAAATCCACCCAATCAGTAGCACAATTTTGAATCTTACAGCATCATAAATCTCATCATTCTTTTCAAAATCGCCACTTTTCCGTGGGATGATGTGAATATGAACATGCGGAACTGTCTGTCCTGCCTGGGGTCCATCCTGAGATATTAACAGAAATAAATAACTTAGCACCAGCTTCCCAAGCAGAGGAATAGGCCAAAAAAACAAAATTCAAGGAGTATGCACAATTCAAACACACTTAAAATGCACCTATCCATTTTATATCAACATTGATGTATAGAAAACTTTATAAATGTCAAATTCTGCATTTACATGCCTTTTCGAAAATTTCAGCATATCAGAATCCTAGTATTTTTTGAGAACATACAATAACATTATGGTTTAAGGATAAAAACAAAAAAGCCTACTTACTTGGATTGCAAATGTAAGAGAAGACGCCTTGTGGTATGACTCAAGTTGCTTGCCAACTTTTTGTGCTGTAAGCCACAAGTCGCTAGTCTCATCAGTAGTAAGCTCAGCAAAGCGTTTTACTTCACGCCTTGGGCAGACAAGCACATGTACATTTTGTTAAGTAGACCAAATATGACGGTTGTAACCATAGCAAAGTTTTAAGATTGGAGATAACTGAGGGTCTAACCATATTAGCAAAATGTTTAGAAGAATGCCACCTCGTACTACAGGTCAGAGGTTAGAAAAGAAAAAAACAAGAATGCGAGCTTTTTAAGAAACAAGTATGATGTAGAGTATTCTGTGTGCAAAAGCCAAATAAAGCACAAAACAGAACCCAATACATTGGTGGGAGAAAATTAAAATTACAGATATTTCAAAAGATTGGAACAAACATCATTTCCAACAGAGAACAATTTGTTCATAACTGTCTATTCATAATTCAAGAAATATGAACCTAATAATGTTGGTCTTTGAAAAGTTTATTAACTGCATTTGGAGGATGAGTCTATGAGAGCAATCAAATAAGCTACAGTAATGGGAGCCAACTCCTCCGTATTGCAGACTTTTTACATAAATTAGTTTATAATCAGACAAAACATATCCTTAAAAATTAACAAAGCATGTTTAATTCATATATGTCCAGAGGATATCACAGGTAGTTTTTTTGGATGTCTTTTCTGCATCTACTTAGGAAAGTAGCACAACCAGAAGAACCAAGTGATAAAGGAGTGAACCAAGGGAAAATACAACTGCCAACAAATTTTGATCAAACATGGGAGTTAGAGAGATGAAGATGTTATTTCAATCAATTGCTCAACAGAAATCACGAGGAGAAATGGCATATTTTGATGCATAAATCCTTATTTAGGTCTGCAAAAGTAAAGGATACCATGAAAAATATGAGAGATAGAAAAGTATGTTTTCCACATGGTATCCTGTCGAGTAGCTTGGCAAACGAGGCTATTTAATGTTATACTAACATCTGAGACGAGTCAAACAGGTGAAAAAAGTACTTTGTTTCGAACATATACAAATACAAAAGAGAGATTCGAAGTCTTGCAAACCAATGTGGTATTAGGTGTATGATCACATCATGAAGCTTTGGAAAAGAGTGATTGACCATAGATTTAGGGAAACTACAAAGATGATGGATAACCAATTTGCATGGTAGATTTATAACAACGTTCATAGTTATGCTAAAAAGATTGGACGAAATTTATAGAGATAGAAAACAGGATCTCCATAAGATATTCATTAAACTAGAGATGGAGAAGCCATCTAATACAAGTGTGAAGAAATGACCTTTAGTTGGTCCCTGAGAAAGAAAGTAATTCATATCAAATACACACAACTCAAAAAAAGGATATATGAAAGAGTGTTTAAAAGGAATGGGACAGTAAGAGAAGCTAAGGAGATATGGAGGAGATATAGAGGAGTTTCCATTAAGGGTGGATTTATACAAAGGATCTACACTGAACACATTCTTGTTTACCTTGTTATGAGAGAGCTAATCAATATTCAATAGAATATAGGATGAGGTTACATGGTGCATGCTCTTTACAAATGATATAGTATAGATTGATGAAACTAGAGAAGAGTTGATGAAAAGTTGGTGATGTGGAAAAGTAATATAGAAAGTAAGAGTTCCTGAATAAGTAGAACGAAAACAACATCGAAGCAGTGTAAGCATCTTCATAAAGAATATAAAGGCGAAGTCGAGAAAATTACATTACAATTTCAAAAGAGAAGAATGTAGGTGATTTGAGATTAAACAGGATTATAGTGTCTAAGTGAAGACAATTCAAATATTTAGGTTAATATTTTAGGAGAATAGCTCGATAGATTAAATGTAAAGGAAGCCTGGTGCACTAAATCTCCGGCTATGCACGGGGTCAGGAGAAGGCCGAACCGCAAGGGTCTATCATATGCAGCCTTAACCTGCATTTCTGCAAGAAGCTGTTTCCACGACTTGAAACCGTGATCTACTGGTGACATGGCAACAACTTTACCAATTTCTCCAAGGCTTTCCTTCCCAGATAAACTAAATGTAACATATGACATTTAAAACTGATGTTTGAAAGAGAGGAGTGCTAAGGAATCACTTAGAGATGATAAACATAATTAGATGAAAGCAACTACTATAGAATGGTTGTAAAGTAGTAATTTTGCACAAGAGAGAATTCTGGGCCCTAAAGCTCAATACATTCATAAGATGCGAATATTCAGATGGATGTGCAATATACAACATTGGAAAAGATTAGAAATGACAAAACAGAAGAAAAAATACGCTTCATTATTCTTCTTACATTTACATAGGGAGTGGTTTTTTCAGAGGTCATTATATAATGGTTGTGACATGCATCCATGCAACGATAAGTGTGAGACTTGAAAGTTACTACTCCCTACGTTTCACAAAGAATGACCTGGTTTGACTTGACACGGAGTTTAAGAGTAAAAAGAAGATTTTTTTATCTTGTGGTCATAAATTAAAGTTAGGTTAAATGTACGAAATTGACCTTTGATCTTGTGGTCTTAAACATGCCACGTGGAAAGCTAATTCTAAAATGTTTACCCAAAAAAAGAAAAAGGTCATTCTTTTTTAAACAGACTAAAAAAGAAAGGAGGTTATTCTTTTTTAAACGGAGGGAGTAACTTTTTTATTTTAAGAGAAGACCTTTATTTGAATACAAAAAAAAAAACCTTAATTTGCCTCAAATGAAAAATAATATAAGGCTTCAATATAAGAAACAGGGCACATGAGAATACGGAGTTGACACATTTACTGTATGATGATGATACAATAGAGTTTAATGAAGCAAAACAAGAACAATTATGCTATTTAAGGTTGAGGCTTGTTCTGGACTCGAGGTTACTTGAGAAAAAGAAATATCTTTCCTCCGAAAGATGTTAAACAGATACAAACACTAACAAACATCTTGAGGTTCAAGGTACAGAAGCTACGAACACTTTATCTAGGCATGCCATTGGGGGCAAACCATAAAGCCATTACTATTTGGGATAGAATTTATTGAGAAGACAAAGAGGAAGTTGGCACTTTGGAAGTCTCAATACCTTTCATTGGGAGGTAGTCACTTTAATAAAGTGCTAGATTCCTTATCAACTTATATGATGTCCTTTTTCCCTATACCTGGTGAGGTGATCAAAGTTCTAGATGCTTTGAGAAGGAATTTCCACTGGCAAAAAAAAATTAGCAGTTTCCATTTAGTAAAATGGGCAAAAGTTCAACAAGGGAAGAATTATGGGGGTATGGGAGTAAGGAAGCTCATGTTACTGAACAAAAGTCTGCTAAGCAAGTGGCTATGGAGGTACAACCAAGAGGAGCATGCACTACGGAAAAAGGTGATGCAACACAAATTCAGCGAAGAAGGGGAATGGTGTTCAAGTGAAGTAACAACCACTTATGGATTTGGAATTTGGAGGACTATCAGAAGCTTTTAGCCGGCTCTAGAAGTTGATACAAAAGTTAAAGTTGGGAGGGGAGATAAGGTTTTATTCTGAAAAAATGACTGGACTGGTCAAGGATCTCTTCAAAGTTTGTTTCATGGACTTCATTCTATCAATGTGCATCCCGATAACAAAATCAGTGAGTTGTGGTCTCAACAAGGGTGGAATTTGGTATTTAGAATGTTGTTAAATGACTGGGAGATAGAAGGGGTAATTGAACTATTGGATATGTAGAAGGCTTTCTGGACATTAACTTGGAAACAAACAGTCTATTATGGAGACAACACCCAGATGGAAGAGTCGTTGTCAACAGATTGTACATGTGGGGTCAATCAGAATAACAGGGCCATGGAGCTATTTGGAAGAGTGTGGCTCCCACTAAAGTGAAGTGTTTTGTCTAGCTGGTAGCTAGGAGAGCCTGTTTGACTCATGAAGCATTGCAAAAGGGCATCAACATCGACTCTAGATGCTTACTATGCAAAGAGGAGCCGGAAACCAACAAATATTTATTTTTGCATTGCAAAGTAACAAGAAGTATGGGCTTTATTCTTCGGTTTAGCTATCCTAAACTGGTGAATGCCAGAACGCACATTAGATTCATTGAGTTGTTGGATCATAAAGGGGGCAGCAAGAGTCAAAAGAAGTGGTGGAGGACAGTACCTTCTTGTATCTGGAGGAATATTTGGAAGGAAAGGAATCAGATGAGTTTTAAAGGAACGAATGCTCGGTACAGAAGATTAAATGGAAAGTAATTACTTCCTTAGGTTTTTGGTGTAAAGAACAAAATATAGAAGAGGAAACCCAATTAGTTGATTACGTAGATTCTTTGTAAGTATTTATGTTTGTTTCTTCTTCTCCTTATTTTCTCTCTTCTCTGTTAATACTTTTTGGAGGTGACCAGCTTAGCCCTTAATGCTGAGGAATACATGTTACCCATTTCAAAATAAGTAGTACTTAGAACAGAATAAAATGGACAAAAAAAGAACGGACTAGATGATAAGGGTTCAATTGAGCATAGTTGATACACTAACTGACCGATTGAGAGTGCCACCATTTAAAAGAATGTTGGACTTTCTAAACTGATCTCAGAGGCATATTTTATTTGCACATACACACCCACATATGTGTCTTGCGTTTAAAAGAAATATATAAGCATAGGGTGAATGAACAGAAACATACTAAAAGTAAAGTGAGGAGATAAACAAGTGCCACATTCAGAATCTTCCTCGGTATCATCACAACTGACTATATTCACAAAAAGAGATATTTAAAATGAATCTCCATCAACCAATCAATTACAGAATGCACAAGGATATGACCTGCATGAAAAGAAAAGAGAGCTCAATCGTTGATATTCATGCAAGAACTGGAAATGATGACACAAGTATAAAGCTTTTGTCTTCCAGATACATAAGAAATATGAATAAATACCCAATGTACAATGTCCTAGCAGAAGGATATACAAACGACAGAAGTATGAATTGAAAAAGGAAGTAGCAAAAGGAACACACTGAGCATAACAAGAATCTGTTGTTGGTGTTTGTTTATACAAATTGTTCAGAGAAAATTTTATATAAAAATAGCAGAATCAAAATAATTTTGATAGATTCCACATCCTAAGAAGTTTGGTTCTGACAAATTACCAGATCAGCACAGTAGAAGTGTTGTAAGTGAGACCTTAGTCTAGACCTACATTGCTCAGACTCTTTAAAATTGTCGATGGCTGGGTGCCGGATCCTTCAGAAATAGTGCATTTTGGAGGATCTGATAGTGGTGCTGCAACAATTTTTGGAGTCCGAGCAACGTAGGTCTAGACTAGCAGCTAACTTACAGTAATAGCATCAAAGCACTACCAATTGTCTTATGCCTAAGTCATTATAGTGTTCATTTTCCTAGTATGATGTTGGCTATTTGCTTTCACTAAAAAAAAAAGAAAAAGTGGTCCAGCAGTTAGTATTCATGCTTGAAGTATGAGGCATTGAATGTGTCTAGGGTTGAATAAGCAAAACCCAATAAACATGCAGTCACTGTGCTACAACTTTGTTAATTATGCAGTCCATTTGATTGTCACCAGGCATAAAGGGTATTTGACTAAGCCTATAAGTTGTTCAAACTAACTTATAGGCACTTTTAGCTTATTTACACATTTGGTAAACACCAAAGTACTTTTTAATCAAGATAAACACCAAAGTACTTATAAGTCAAAAATCAGCCAAAGTCATAAGTTGGTCATCCCAACTTATGGTTAGACTCAGAATATCTTTTCCAAAACAAACCTCCTAACTTCCTCTTCACTCGATATTTGTTTTATCCTTAATATTTTTTCTAATTCTCAACATATCTTTCACAAAACAGAACTTCCAGCTTCCTCATCACTGGCATTCGTCATTCCTCTTTCGGTCTTTTTTTTCTGACCGTGGTGTTCGGGCCAGCTTTCCCGCACCTCGACTAGATCCACGGGATACCTGCCAACTTCCAACTTCCACCAGCAACATATTTTTTCAATGACTGTAGTGTTTGGTCCAACTTTTGTGTGCCTCGACTAAATCCACGGGATACCTGTCATCTCCCACCAGCAACTAATACCAGGTGACTCTATCAACGAAGGCTAAGCAAATGGGAAGAATCACCTAGTGTTCTTTTGTCTCTACTGAGTTTTGAGACTGAGACCTCAAAGGTCTCAACCACTTCATTGACCACTAGGCCACACCCTTGGTGCATCCGTCGTTCCTCTTTTTCCTTACAAACATACTTTAAAATTTAATTTTTTTTACGGAAGTTTTAATGGTATTTTAGTCATTAAAAAAAAAGAACAACTTATCAACACTTATTTTACTAAACTCATCAACCGCATATTAGCAATTTCTTATGTTGCTCAGACTCTCCAAAATTTTTACTGCACCCGTGTTGGATTCATCAAAATGCACTAGTTTTGGAGTACCCAACATGCACCATTCAACATTTTTGAAGAGTCTAAGCACCATAGCCGGTTTAAACACATAAGTACTTATATATAAAATAAGTTTCATTACTTAACAATGACTTTTAGCACTTACAACCTATCATGTATTTACATTCAGCTAATCCTGATAGGCTCGTAATGATGAAAATTATTCTTGTGTCATCTAAATGATTGTTGTTAATTGTTATGTATTGTTGGTGATCAATGCATAAAGCCTCTTAGCCTCATAGTTTTAGAATGATGTTAATTGAAAAATACATGTCCTATCACAACTAAAGCAGCACTACGGATTTGTCCTTTTGGGGGAAAAATCAATAATTTTTAGTGAATAACTGTTTGGTATGACAGCTCAAAAATTCATCCCATAGGTGGAAGTTGATCAAGTTTTGGGTAAAAAAAAAGTAAAGGAACAAATTAAAAAAAAAAAAAACAAGAAATCCAAATACCAGGAAGAAGGGGGCGGAGGTTGACCAAGGCATAAGAGAAATGAGTGGAATAAAAGACTTCTTTATTGTGAATCTTGTATGGCCCAAACATATAAGAAGCTGTCTCCATCTGGGTTCCAATTATAAGCGAACAAAAAAGACGTGTGAAATCAATGAATCGAACAAGATTTCAGTAAAGAGAGAGAGGAGAGAGAAACCTTAGACTGGGAGTGACTGCTGCTTGAAGAGGAGATTCGCGCTAAGGAAAATAGATGATTATTCGCCTTAAAATGAAATTGAAGGAAATTTGACAATGGAGTCGCGTTATGCTTCAACATTTCTAGGTCTCGTTTCTATTTTATTCGCCTTTTCTTCATATTAATTATTCATTTTTATTCTATTCCTCAAAACTCGCTCATCATTATTTCTTCCTTTTATTTTATTTCTTAAATTACATAACTAATAGAGATAATTGTATAAACTAAGAAACTTATAATATAATATAAATATAATAGTCCTTTGATTTATCTGTATTTCATAACAACTCATTGTCCGTCCCTCTCTCCCTCTTATTCTAGCAGCCACTCTCCCTCTCTCGCTCGCTTCCTGTCGCTCGTCTGTCGCTTTATTTAATAGAATTGTATATATTGTTTTTCTAATTGTATAAAATGAGAGAAAAATCTATAAACGCATGCAAATACCTATATTTTTATTTTATACACTTATAATTATACAATATAAATATTTTCCTGCCCAAGTCTCTTTTGACTTTCTCTTTATATACAAATTCAAATTGTATATAATTTCTCTCTTTCTCGTTTTATACAATTCGATTCAATTGTATATTCCCTTCATAAGTCTCTTTTTGTCTTTCTCTCTTTCTCGTTTTATACAAATTCAAAAATGTATATAATTTCTCTCTTTCTCGTTTATACAATTCAATTCTGCCTTTCACGCTTTCTCGTTTTATACAATTCAAATTGTATATAAATTCTCTCTTTCTCATTTCATACAATTCGTTTTATACAATTCGCTTCAATTGTATATGTATAGCGAATTATACATATATAAGTTTGCTATGAAACACAATTATTTATATTTTGCTATAACATTTAAATATGAATTTTATGTTTACTATATGTGAAAGTTGCCCCTAACTAATACATGCCTTCATTACATTTTTTAATCTCCTAAAATTAGAAATTTGACATTGTCACATATATTAAGAATTAAAAATTCTTACTCTTTAATGAATTTTATGTTTTACATATTTTTAAGTATAAAATTTAATTTTTATATCATCAAATTTTCAATGTTGAATGATTTTTTGTAAATTACTATATTATCATTTTCTTTATTATGTTTGTCACGCCCCGAGCTACCCCCAAGACCCAGACACAGAACCTAGGACCACAAGTGATCCCAAGCTAACCCCGCGGGCATGATCATGAGCATACTAAAGATAATAAGTTGCTGCGGAGGCTAAATCATACTTAAAATGAAATGTTGGGGAATACCCATATTTTATAACTGAGATATTCGAAAACAATGAGTTTAATATAAAAGAAATATAAACTCAATACTAAGCTGAATCTAACTATGTCTAAAAATAGCCTCTAAACTAGACTAGAAATACTGGAACAAGCCCCAGCTAAATCTAGCAAAAACTAAAACTAAATGACTAAAGACTGAAATGAAACTCATGACTGTTGTCCCCGGAGAATGAGGATTCACCACTGAATCTGCTGAACTGGAGATTGGAAAATCGATCTATGCGTGATCTGGATGCTGAGAACCTGAACCTACATCATGAGAAGATGTAGCGCACGTATGCGTCAGTACTTGAAAGGTACTGAGCATGTAGGATAGAGTACAACTGAAATAAAACATAACTGAACAAGCACAAAAACAAGTATAATAATCTGAACGTGATGTGTTGATTTCTGAGCAAACTGGATGCAATGACCAATTTATAACATCCTGAAACTGAATAACAAATATACTGATAAATGGTCAATGCAGAGAGTCTGACTGAACTGTGGGAGCTACTTATAACCGATAATAAAATCACATGAGCTAAATGTCGAGTCCGATGTATACACCCCATCGAGAGGACTCAATATACCCTGCCAAAGTTATAAAGGCATGCTGGCGTGATCACTAAACTGATTTCCCACAGAGGGGACTTACAACCTACTCGGCTAGTAGTTCAGGGACTATTGGGTACGCTAAACCTTAGTCCAACTCGGTATTATGCTACTCCCAATGAATTCTGTAAACTAACTAATTATATCTGAATTTTTGTAAATACTTGATAGCTCAAAACTGAACATGCAAATTGAGAATGCAACAATTAATCTGGTAATTATGCATTTATAACTGAGGCATGTAAATCTGAAGTGTCTGAAATATATGACATAGCATGTGTAATTCAAGAACTAAAGAAATACAAAGCTAGGATTCTGAAATTCATGCGATAATCTGAGTAATAACATGATAATCTGATTTGGAACATATATTTAATAAATTCATGAAGTTATATCAATGTTCTAGAAACCCTAGGCTTAATCATGATAAGAGAATCAAGAACTGACTGAAATTAAGGACCCAATGGGTGAAAGGAACCCACTAGTGAAATTCCACAAACCTGGTGATGAAATCCACGGAAAAATACTGAAGTTTCGGGGTTGAAACTACTGGAGCTTGTGGCGTTCTTGAAATAGGGTTCTTGAGATTTATTCTCCTCTCTTGATTCTTATTTTCTACGTTTTGATTTAATGATTTGACTTGGATATGTTTTAATTATTTTCTAGGCATAAACTGACTAAAATCTGATTATTTTGGGGTCAAAACGATGTATAGGGTTTAAGTAGAGTAGGAAAGGTCAAAAAGACCCCTGGGAAGGTTGCTGTCGAGCCTCACGACAGCCAGGACTAACGGTACGTCGTGCGCCCGACGCCCCGTTCGACAAGCCTTTACTAAAATGGGCATAACTTTTTACTCAGAGGTTTGATTTTAGCAATGTCGGTGGATATGGAAAGATAATTCAATTATCTATCTGTGGGTAGGTGATGGGAGACCTAAATTATTTTTTACTAAGAGTTATGATCATTTTAAGTTGAACCAAATGCATTTCTCCTTAACTGGCTGCAAATTTTCCACCTACGAACCATGCTGGTCATCCATAGCTCTTTTCAGAGTGTGGTTGAAGGGAGTCTTGATCGACGGTCACGGACAACGGACCGTAAGTCCGTCCTTCGTCCAAGACTTAACCAATTTTTCTAGGCTGAAATTTTTGGGAGTTTCTAATCCTATCAACGGTTGTGCAGGACGGACCGTGGTTCAGGCTACAGTCCGTTGATGCCACTGTTTCTAGCAACTGCAGATTTTTCTGAAAACTAATTTTTGGTCTGTTTTGGCTATGGGGTGTTACATTATCTCCCCCTTGGGAATATTCGTCCTCGAATAAAGACTAAACTAGCTGAAGTGGAGGGAGAGAGATGCAAACCCCACTACTAAACGCTGAGAACGGAGTTCTGAGTACATGTAGTTATGCCAAAAATGAAAGTACAAACTGAGGGAACATGATTCTAAAACAAAATTTATGCATGAATGAATGTACAAATGAAGAGGAAATATTACTTCAAGCTCGAGTGGAATCGGAAGGAAAAAGGTAAGGATACTTGACTTTCATAGTTGCTTCTGCTTCCCAAGTAGCTCCCTCTACGGACTGACTCCTCCACAAAACCTTGACTGAAGCGACTTCTTTGTTTCTCAATTTTCTAACCTGACGGTCAAGAATCTCAACTGGTACATCCTCATAAGAAAGACTATATTTCACCGCCACACTCTTTAATGGTACTATAGAGGCTGGATCACCCACGCACTTCTTCAAGAGTGAGATGTGGAAGACCAGATGCACTGTTGCTAATTTTGCTGGCAACTCTAACTCACATGCCACCTTGCCAACCCTTTTCAAGATCTTGTAAGGGCCTACATATCTAGGACTGAGCTTCCCTTTCTTTCCCAATCTCATCACCCCTTTCATAGGTGAGACTTTTAGAAAAAACCAATCATCAACTTGGAACTCTAGTTTCTTTCTCCTTACATCTGCATAAGATTTCTGACGACTTTGGTTTGTCTTAAGTCTATCTCTACTAAGTTGCACTTTCTCCATAGCATAAAGGAATGAATCTGGACCTATCAAACCTGCCCCACCTACTTCAAACCAACCGACAGGAGATCTACATCTACGTCCATATAAAGCCTCATAAGGGGACATCTAAATGCTGGAATGGTAGCCATTATTGTAGGCAAACTCAATAAGAGGAAGGTGATCATCCCAACTACCTTTGAAATCGATCACACAAGCTCTCTACATATCCTCTAAGGTCTGAATGGTACGCTTTGTCTGCCCATCCGTCTGTGGATGAAATGTTGTACTAAGGTTAACTTGAGTACCAAGACCTTTTTTAAATACTTTCAGAAATGAGAGGTAAACTGAGGACCTCTATTTGAGATGATAGACAAAGGAACCCCATGCAACCTCACAATTTCAGTAAGGTAAAGCTTGGCATAGTCCTCTACCGAATATGTAGTCTTGACCACCAAAAAGCGAGAAGACTTAGTCATCCTATCAACTATCACCCAAATTGAGTCATGTTATCTGCGAGTACGAGGTAACCCTGTGATTAAATCAATATTGATCACATCCCACTTCCAAGTAGGAATATCGATCTCTTGAGTCATACGTCCTGGTTTCTAATGTTCTACCTTGACTTGCTGGCAATTCGGGCACTTACACACAATGTTTTCTATATCCCTCTTTATGTCATTCCACCAATAGACTTCCTGGAGATCGCAGTACATCTTAGTGGCACCTAGATGAATAGAATACCTAAAGTTATGAGCTTCTGCAAGAATATGCTGCTTCAACTCTCCCACATCAGGAACACACAATCTACCTTGGTAGCGAAGTAAACCATCTTCCCCTTGGGAGAAAACCACCACTCTCTAATTGTTGACTTCACCCTTTAGTTCAAGCAAGATCGGATCACTCTTTTGCTTTTCCTTAACCTCCACTACCAAAGACGATTCTTCCCCATTCTGAACTGTTACACCGCTGTCTGATATGCTCATAAGGCAAACTCCTAAGCAAGCAAGCCTGTGAACATCCTTCACTAGCTCCTTTCTTTTTTCCTCAACATAGGCTACACTACCCATAGATAATCTACTAAGAGCATCGGCAACTATATTGGCCTTTCCAGGATGATAACGCACACTCATATCATAATCCTTAAGGAACTCAAGCCATCTCCTCTGGCAAAGATTCAACTCTTTCTGGGTGAACACATACTGAAGGCTCTTATGATCGGTTAA